AGCTTACCTTGATGATTCTGACTGAACTCTGGTTTTGTGCTGTTCAATAGTTTCTTGCTGTCTTTGAGTAGCGTGCCTTTCTGTTTGAGTTCGAAGTCTAACTTACGTTGTTCCAAAGTCTCTTCCTGTATTTGAGCAGCCTGTCTTGCAGCTTGTGCTTGAAGTCTTTGATTGTGTTCTTTTAACGGCAGAAATCTTTCCATAGAAAAGGCGTTTCTTGGGTGGCATAATCACCTGTATCACTAAACAATAATTTACAATTCACAAAATTACTAAATCACTTATGAAACCACTTAGCACTATTTAAAGAAAACTGTTTTTGGAAATACTGAATTGACAGCAAGGTGATCTTGTTGAATATTTTTGGTGTACTCTGTACTATAAATGTTATGTTTTTTATATGAGAACAACAGAATGTACGAGTATTGATAGGTGTGTGTTTTTATAGTAAGAACGTGAGTTTTGGTTAGGATGTTAAATATTAGGTTGCTAAAAGAACTGTTTCGCTCACATTCCACTCGAAACTCCGTAGACGTGTTGACACCAGGTCCCGCTGCTGTTCCACTACTGACACAAGTATAGTTGGCGTTATCAAGGTCACGGTCAAGTGTCCACGCCGTCAAGTTCCACTGGAGCGTGCTAACGACAGAGGTGAAATAGCCAGCCTGTGTATCTTCTGGCAGTACTGAACTCCTAATTATGTATAAACTGGAATCCGCTATTTTGTCTTCGTTTTTACGCCATTCAATCTCACATAGTGGATCACATTCGATTCTGCATGACATGCTGACAGTTGTGGCGTCAGAGGGCGCTCCGTACATCTCCGGTAACTCTTCAATAACTGCAGGAGGCGCTAGATAATAAAATATGTTTTTATAAAAATAAATCTCTTCGAAGTTTAAACACAGATACATCTTAAATAATAAAAAACGTAGTATTTAAGTTATCTCAACTTCAAACAACAACAGGAACCTAGTTCACCAATTCAACAAACGACAAATGATGGTCAAAAAAAGAAACGTGTTTACTCACTCTTAATAGAACTTACAGGGTAGTTAATTTAGTAGTTAATTCTCTTGTTTAATTGCAACACGACGAACGTGCACCAACTACGCTTGCTCAAGTAAGTCTTTGGGTTTGACACCATGGCAACGAGAAATAGATTCGGATTTAAAAGGAATGTTGCTAGGCAACACTGAGGACACTGGATGTACCGTATACTTCCATTATTATTAAATAATTATAATCTAGCATTCAGTAGTGAAAGGAAAAAAGGATATTTCGGAGTCCTGTACAATACTAACTTAATCATATTTACTTGGAACACGTGTTGTTGATGGTTCCCTCTTACTTCAGCAACTGAACACACATGTTACTGTTGTGACAGTTTACGAGTGACTAACCGATAAAGAAATGAACTAATAAAGAGAAGGGCAGTTTGAACTTGAACACAATGTGATAGACAGATAGTACAAAAGCAAGATTAAGAATACACATCTTGAGCTGAATTTTACTAATAGATAAATAAACAGCACAAGAGAGAGACAGTTAAATATTGGTGTGAGTGATAAATAGATAGATAGATAGACAGACAGGTGGATAGATTAAGAACACGTATTTTAACCTGAATATTACGTACAGCAATAGATAGACAGACAAGTAGATAGATGATGCAATGTAAAGATTAGGGATACATAGGTTTAGTTAAATACCAATAACAGACAGACAGTACAAGATTAAGAACACGCGTGTTTAGTGGAATATTGGTAAGAATGACACATACATAGATAAATAATATGTTTCTTACTTACCTTGTACTGATAGGTAGATCTCCCCCCTTGGGCCAATGCCAGCAGCGTTTACGGCTGAGCACGTGTAATTCCCCCTGTCTCTGAGATTTATCAACTCAAACGTCAGCTTGTGGGTCGTAACGGGAAGTATTTGGTTGAAATGCTCCCAATGAAAAGCAGTAGCCGAAGGACGGCCCATCTCTTCTAGTCTGCATTCTAATGTAGTGGGATTACCTTTCAATACAGGAGGACTTTGTTTTATCACTGTTGCAGGGCCCGGAAGATCTAAAAGTCATAGTTACAAAAAAAAAGTGACGATATTAAAAGCTTTTCTGGTTAGAACTCCAATTCTAGTTAAAGCACTTTTACATCAACGAAAGAGTTCCAATTCCAATCACCTTTACATGTTAATGAGAAAAGTTTTGTCAGTTAAAAAAGAAAGGAGAAGAAACTTGCCGGTTCTAATAAGAATTACAAGAAAAAGAGTTTTTTTTTTCGTTGCTTATCAGCCAGAATCGCTCACATGTAAAGTAGGTTTATTCAGACACTGAAATAAAAAACGGAAAACAACAACTGAGTTTCGAATATTCAAGAAACTCTTAAAACTTTGCTGTTAGTTTTCTAAGATATATTTAGATCTACGGACCTAATTTTCAACATTCTAACATTCATTATACTAATAGATCATGTTAGAAACAGGTGGGCCTAATTTCGACATTCTAACATTCATTATATTAATAGTTCATGTTACAAACAGGTAGGCCTAATTTCGACATTCTAACATTCATTATACTAATAGATCATGTTACTAACAGGTGGGCCTAATTTCGACATTCTAACATTCATTATACTAATAGATCATGTTACTAACAGGTGGGCCTAATTTCGACATTCT